CGCCCGAACAAGATGGCGCCGCCCCGGGGGGGCGCGGCGTGGGGAGCCCGCCTTGGCGCCGGCCCTGACACCCGCTTCGCTCCCGGCAGAGACCAAGGTGTACGTGGGGAACCTGGGCACGGGCGCCGGCAAAGGCGAGCTGGAGAGAGCCTTCAGCTACTACGGGCCCCTGAGAACCGTGTGGATCGCGAGGAACCCGCCGGGGTTCGCCTTCGTCGAGTTTGAAGACCCGAGGGATGCTGAAGATGCTGTCCGTGGACTTGATGGGAAGTACGTGTGCATTTTAATTGTTTGTGGAAGTTACAGATGGTTTTAAGACCGGAAACTGTATCAAGGTTCTCTCTCAGGTTCTCTTTGTAGAGTAACCATTCACTAAAAGCCATCATGGACTTGTTGCAGGGTGATATGTGGCTCCAGGGTGAGAGTGGAAGTGTCGACAGGGATGCCCCGTCGCTCCCGCTACGACAGGCCTCCTGCACGGCGCCCCTTTGACCCCAACGACAGATGCTATGAGTGTGGCGAGAAAGGCCACTACGCTTATGATTGTCACCGCTATAGTCGGAGGAGCAGGAGGAGCAGGTAGGTGTGGGGCTGGAGCAGCTGGGTTGTTTTGCCAGTTCACTTTTGTGTAGCAGAGAACAGAATGCTACGCCAGTTTTAACTCTAATGTTGTAAGTCAACAGGTGTATATCACAAATTTTTTTTTTGCTAATACATATATAATGTTAATATCTTAATAATCAACCTGGTCAAAACCTTTCAGGTTTCTTCGTTTGAGTCAGTCGCCTTGATTCAGAATGTCACGAGCCTTAAGATTTCATGCTGAGGCGCCTTGCAAATCCGACACTTAAGATCCTCCTAGACCTTGAGGTGATCAGCATAAGAGGCCAGATCCCCTCGAGCCATCTACACGTAGCTTCACCTTATTCTTAAGGGCAGAAAATTTGAGACGGTGATCGCCGTAACAGTAAATTTGGCTTTCAATTGGGGCCCCCCTCCGGTTTAGAAAGAGGAACACCAGATTGACCACATTCCCACCTAGAAAAATCTTCTTGCGTCAATCAAGCCTCACCCTGGCTCATTGGGCTGTCAGTTTGATCGTCGTTAGATTGAAGAGAACACCTAGATGCAGCGATCGGCTATAGATACTTCTAGATCGTCTAGATCTGCTAGACCTTGGGCCAAAGAGGGTCGACCTGCAAACTTGCAAGGTTTATTTTAACTACGCATTACAGTGTTTTCTATTCTAATGTAATTCTGAAATGTCATTCAGCTTTTTAACATTTTTCTAGGTAGTAAAATGCTCAAGACAAGTAGGCCCAGAGATTTTTTTCCAACTGACAGATGCTAGTTCTTTAGTTGTCTGAAATCAGTTTTGACTTCAGCAGGGCCTCACATGCACTGTTTGCTGCAGCTGTTTCCTGATAACTGTTTTCTGTAACCTCAACCCAGGTCCCGGTCTAGATCTCGGTCAAGGTCCCGAGGAAGAAGGTATTCTCGGTCGCGCAGTCGGAGTCGTGGTAGGAGGTATGCTTAAGTTTGTCTTTTATTCCTGTTTTTTGGCTTAGGAAAAGCTGCACTTGTGCCGCATGGGGCAATGGGCACAAGCTGGAACATAGGAAATTCCATTTAAATATATGAAAAAACCTCTTTACTGTGGGAGTGACAGAGTACTGTAACAGGCTGCCCAGCGAGGTTGTGGAGTCCCCTACTTTGCAGATATTCAGGACCTGCCTGGATGCAGTCCTGAGTAATGTGCTCTAGGCAGTACTGTTGTAGCTGGGGAGTTGGACTGGATTATCTCCAGAGGTCTCTTCCAGCTCTGACAGTTCTGTGCTTCTGTGGCTTCCTTGCAGGTCCAGGTCAGCTTCCTATCGTAGGTCCCGGTCCGTTTCTCCTCGTAGGTCTAGGTCGGTGTCTCCTCGCCGGTCCCGATCAGGTTCCTTGAAGAGATCGAGGTAATTAGTAGTAATTTGTAATAGGTTCTGTGCTTTGTTTTTTTTTGGGATGTTTTTTGTTTTAGCTAAGGGATTAAAGAAGGTATTGCATAGCAGATTTCAAAAGGTGTTGACGTGTAGAAATCGGACTTGTAAAAGTTTTATATAATCCGAGTTAAATTCACAGGCATGGCAATGTGATTAGTTTTGAGATCTTACACAGCTGCAAAGCCCACAATTAATTTTGATGTCTAGAATGTCTAATGATCTTGTAGTTTTTAAGTTCAGCATGTCAACATGAATCAAAATAATGCTGTAGATGTCATCACTCTGGTTGATTTGACCTCTTTGATTTTGTATTAATTTATCATAATTTTTTATTTCAGGTCTAGATCCAGATCTAGATCCAGATCTGTTACATGGCCCCGAAGCAGGTCAGATCTCTTCCATGACTGCAGATAATTAGTTAAAGTTGCTTAAAAGTCTGTTTAGGCTTTCTAAGAGTTACTAACATTTTCCAAAAAAAGCCATGTTCTCTCCACTAACTTACGGGTCTGTAGTTTTAAAAAGCAGTGCAGAAGAGTGTGCTTTCCCTTTTTATTGTTGTACATATTGTTGTGGTATCCAGGTCCTGATTTTCATCACAGCTGCAGTTTTGATCAGACTGCATTAGCAGCTAACGGAGCAAACAAATTTAGAAATGAACTGATGAGCTTTTTTGTTTTCTTTATGTAGCAGACATGAGATTGTGGATTCTTCCCATTATTTTTCAGATAAATCAGGATGCCCTTCCAGTAGTGTGTTAAAGTATTAATGCATATAGCCAGGCAAGTCTTGAAGGGCTTCCTAGTGCTGTGAGTGTTACAGCTGTTTCCAGCTCTGTGGAATAACACAGCATCAGTCTGTAGAAGCTGAACTAAATTTCATATAAACACCTGTCAGAAGTATTTTGTACCGACAAATGTGCCGTAAGAGTGACAGTCAAATTTTACAGGAACACAGGATTTTGTTCTCTTCACAGGAACGCAGTCATTTGTTCTCTTTAGTTTGTAGTTTAATCCTTCCATAATAAGTGAATGCAGCTTGTGCTTTGTGCAACCTTATCCAGGCAGCATGGCTGACGTAGGTTGAGTGGATATCCTCATGGAGGTGTTGTAGGAGAACAAAGAGTAAACTGAAGTTCTGCTCTGAAGGAGATGGTGCTGCTTTTGTCCCAGCCCATTCCCAAGACTACCATTTCGGTTTGATGTCTGTTCCTTGAAATGAATAGTAGTCAACCATGAAGAAACACAAAAAAATAAAGGGAGGCAGAAGGGAGAAAGTGGAAGAGCCTGCAGCTGAAAATGGGAGATATAGTGCTGCAAGGTGGTGGCATTTTCTGAGTGGAAAGCAAGGAATGAGAGGAATTTTTAGGGAATGGAGATACAAAGACCAGAAGGTGGCTAAGTTAAGAGCAGAAACTCACACAAACAGTCCAAGCACTAGTAAAAAGAGAAGGGAAATTCCCTGAGGCAGTAGAGCAATGCCTTTCACTGATTAACTACAGTTTTTCTACCTGTTGCTAAAATATCTTGAATCCTAATACCTTGAATCTCAGTACCAGACTTAATCATGGCTCATAACTGTTTGTTGTCAGTGAGGAACAAAAAATGACTAAGGTCAACAGGCTCTAAAAAAAAAAATCTTCATTTTACTGCCATTGTTTCCTTTTTTTAGCACCAGGATGGTTTTCTGCAGTGTAAAGGATGCTGTTAGTGAAATTTCTAGATGCTATTGTGAGACATGTACTTGTGAGCAAAGATGAAGTGACTGAGGCAGAGGAAATTACAGATGTGCAAGTAGAGAGAAGTAGCAAAATATTGGTGCTTAACTCTAATGAAGTCACTGTTAAACTTCCCTGAGGCAACTGAAAGATGGTTTCTTTACAGAAGAATCAAAGGAATTCATAGCTTGGAGATGAACAATCTGGATGAGTGTTATGCGACGCTTGCTGCTTTGACAGCATTGAAGCATACATCTGGAAGTTGTTGTGGAGACCCTTGGATGTGGACAGTAGAACACTTTGTTTGGGAACCTGAAAATTTCAGTTACTCTTTTAGGCAGTACTATTACAGTTCAGCAGTCTTATCTCAAAGACTGGTATTTTTCAGTCTTTTCACAAGGGTTTTAGTTCAGACAGATTTAAAAATATGTTTTGAGCAAGTGCATATATAAGATTAAGTGTGTTGAGGAGAATGTATTTGTAGGAGCATGCTGCTTGCAGCCAGTTTCAACTATAGTGGTAGATGGCACTCGAGTCTTAATAAATCCTGTGAGCTCAGAGCATGGCTTTTTATTAGCTTTGTGAAAACACTGATCAGGATGCAGGTTGTTGCCGCCTGCATCAGCAAACAGTAGTCATTATCCAGGGAATGAAGTGCAGAGCAACGTGTGTACAGCATTACTTTAAAAAGCTTTATTCTGAAAAGTAGCTGGAAAAGCCCTGGAAACGTGTTCTGTCTATTCAACATGACAGTTCTTGCATGAATCATGTTTTTTCCAATGTAGGAACATGGGTGCTACGAGCTTCCCTGCTGAGCTGTTTTTTTTCTTGTTGTAGGTCTAGATCTCATGGCAGATCAAAATCTGGCTCACCGGCTAAGAGGTAAGAGATAAAGCCTGCAGTAGTGTCTAGAATTCAGTATTGGATTTGCATGAGTAACAGAGCCTGGTCCTTTACAAAAACATCCCACAAACATGGGTGCCCAACTAATCTGTTTGTGGTATAAATGAGGCTATAAAATTTTCTCTGCAGCTATTTAGAATATGTTCCTTACCCATCTCTTTGTTTTCATTTCCTTTCAGTTTCCAACGCAGTACAGATTTTTTTGTCTCGTGCTTGATTCTGTTAGATTTTTCTATCAGATAAAGAGCTTCAGCTTTATTAATGCTGTTGATAAAACAGCAAGAAATCTGTGATTATGTTCCTTTTCTCAAAGCCTCACCTTAGTATTACCTTTTATTTTCTTTTTTTTGGTAGTGAAGACAGTTGCTTAAAATTAATTTCCATGCTAAATGGAATGAAAATCCTTGTCAGAATAAGTTGATTTGGAAACTGCCATTTTAAAGAGCTTCTGGCTAGATTCTCATAGTAATTCCATTGCTGTCTGAGATGCTTATTTATTTGAATATAAAAGTTGCATTTGACCATTGAGCTGCATTGATGATATTCTGTTTTGACAGTCGGTCAAAGTCCCGATCACCATCTCCAAAGAGAAGGTATGTTGATCTCCCTACTAATAACATAGACTCCATAGAGCTGGCATTTTAGTATCTGCAGTGATTTCTGCTGAAGAGTTTGACTGCTCCTTTTAGGAAAATACTGGAAAGTTATATTTCCAAGGTCTCTTCAACAGAAGTAATGTCGTGGGTTTATATATGGTGATACATACGTGGCAATAATTTCTTGGGATACTGGACATGTAGGAGTGTTATGCCTTTCCTTTGTCTGCTCCTGCGTTCATTTCATAGAATCATAGAATCCTAGGGGTTGGAAGGGACCTCGAAAGATCATCCAGTCCAACCCCCCTGCCAGAGCAGGGTCACCCAGAGCACATCACACAGGAACGTGTCCAGGGGGGGTTTGAATGTCTCCAGTGAAGGAGACTCCACAACCTCCCTGGGCAGCCTGTTCCAGGGCTCTGTCACTCTCACAGGAAAGATCTTCCTGATATTCACCTTGAACCTCGTATGCTCCAGTTTGCATCCATTGCCCCTTGTCCTATCACTGGTCATCACTGAAAAAAGCCTAACTCCATCTTCCTCACACTCACCCCTTACATATTTATAAACATTGATGAGGTCAGCCCTCAGTCTCCTTTTCTCCAAGCTAAAGAGACCCAGCTCCCTCAGCCTTTCCTCATAAGGGAGATGTTCCACTCCCTTAATCATCTTAGTAGCTCTGTGCTGGACTCTTTCAATCACTTCCCTGTCCTTCTTGAAGTGAGGGGCCCAAAGTTCAGTTCATTAACAGTTTTATTGCACACAGACTTTATACTGGTGACCTTAAAGCACAGAATACATGTGGGAATTGGATTTGAGTCTCATTAACAGCTGCAGTGATACTGGAGAAGATAGAGGGGAATAACCTGGCATACATGTCAGGAATACAAGATTGAGGCTGTTAAATTTACTGCTGCTTACTCAGATTATATTTTTCCCAATACGTTTGTAAATAATTGTCTGTGTGTGTTTATGCATATATAAATGTAGTGACAGAATCAGTGGGGTTTTTTCCTTAGTTTGAATTCTTTAATAGTTCAATTTTACAACTTTGGGGTTTACTGGTAAGAGTAACTGCAGACTTGCCAGGATGCAACCCTTGCCTTGGTGATCTTTCATTTTTTCTTTTTTTTTTTTTTTTGTTTTTACATTCTTGTAGAACTTCTACACTTAGGTTAGCTTCATTTTAAAATGTGGCTGTGTGTAGCTTAACCTTACGAACAATTACAATGCATTATCTCTTAAAATTAAACCATCAACCCATTAACTTTGCAAGTAGTGATTGGTTATTTTATTAAAAACAGTGATTAAAGGTGCCAGAGTAGTCTTAAGTATCCTCCTGTTGCTTTTTTCCTGTATCTGTGAATCCCAAGTGACTACTAAGTGTTAATTGTGGATTCTTTTCCTTTCAGTCGTTCACCATCAGGAAGTCCTCAAAGAAGTGCAAGTCCTGAAAGAATGGATTAAAGTTATGAAGTTAATCTTTTAGGAAGAAAGTTATTTTGCTTACATTATTATAAGGGATTTTGTGGTGTCTTTGTAAATGTAAGAATGTAGATAGAAGAATATATCAACTAAAATTTGGCATGATCTGGGTCTTCTGAGTTAGTCACGCCAATAGACTAGCACAGGTCTCTTTTTATTGTACGAATTAACTTCATGTGATATGAAATGTGGGGCTTTTTTATTGGCACATTGAAATAAAATGTGTATTTTTAACTAAAACTTCCCTGTAGTAACCCTGCTGCTTCTGTTAACATTTGGGTAATTTTATCTGTGCCATGTAATGTGGATGAAAAATTACTAATATTGGTGTCTTCTCAAACTAGTCACTTTTCACATTTTTGTTGAATGGTCTTTGGGGAAAGGATCAGTTTCTGCTTTCTTTGAAATGGAATTTAAAATCCATCTCTGTCTGCAGATGGCTAAAAATTTGCATATGCCCATTTTATTCCTTTATATTTTTCCCAATACGTTTGTAAATAATTGTCTGTGTGTGTTTATGCATATATAAATGTAGTGACAGAATCAGTGGGGTTTTTTCCTTAGTTTGAATTCTTTAATAGTTCAATTTTACAACTTTGGGGTTTACTGGTAAGAGTAACTGCAGACTTGCCAGGATGCAACCCTTGCCTTGGTGATCTTTCATTTTTTCTTTTTTTTTTTTTTTTGTTTTTACATTCTTGTAGAACTTCTACACTTAGGTTAGCTTCATTTTAAAATGTGGCTGTGTGTAGCTTAACCTTACGAACAATTACAATGCATTATCTCTTAAAATTAAACCATCAACCCATTAACTTTGCAAGTAGTGATTGGTTATTTTATTAAAAACAGTGATTAAAGGTGCCAGAGTAGTCTTAAGTATCCTCCTGTTGCTTTTTTCCTGTATCTGTGAATCCCAAGTGACTACTAAGTGTTAATTGTGGATTCTTTTCCTTTCAGTCGTTCACCATCAGGAAGTCCTCAAAGAAGTGCAAGTCCTGAAAGAATGGATTAAAGTTATGAAGTTAATCTTTTAGGAAGAAAGTTATTTTGCTTACATTATTATAAGGGATTTTGTGGTGTCTTTGTAAATGTAAGAATGTAGATAGAAGAATATATCAACTAAAATTTGGCATGATCTGGGTCTTCTGAGTTAGTCACGCCAATAGACTAGCACAGGTCTCTTTTTATTGTACGAATTAACTTCATGTGATATGAAATGTGGGGCTTTTTTATTGGCACATTGAAATAAAATGTGTATTTTTAACTAAAACTTCCCTGTAGTAACCCTGCTGCTTCTGTTAACATTTGGGTAATTTTATCTGTGCCATGTAATGTGGATGAAAAATTACTAATATTGGTGTCTTCTCAAACTAGTCACTTTTCACATTTTTGTTGAATGGTCTTTGGGGAAAGGATCAGTTTCTGCTTTCTTTGAAATGGAATTTAAAATCCATCTCTGTCTGCAGATGGCTAAAAATTTGCATATGCCCATTTTATTCCTTTATGATACTTAGTGGTCATTCATTTTTCTCCTTGATCTAATTATTCCACAAACCTTGCTCTCTGGTGCTTGACTAGGTGTCATACTAGATGCCCAAAAATGTAAGGATGAGCTTTTATTCAAAATATGGACATCTGTTAAATTAATAACATCTGCAGAAAACCCTAAACGTAACAAAAATCATTAATAACTTGGCAATTTCTACTTTTGTTTGTTGCACTTTTTTAGTTCTTTAGGCTATTAATATAAAGAAAATGTCTTAAAATGTCTCAAGGCATGTTTTCCTTTTTGTGAGGGAAGACTTAAGGGCTTCTGACCTACTTTCTGATGGACCTTAGGAAAATGTGTTTGAGAGGCATAAAGCTGTTATTAGTCTTTCTGTAGTTCAAAGATCCTCACAGCTGATCTGAGGAATTCTAACCTGCTTCACAGAAATTGGTATGGTTTTTAAGCAGCCCAAATCCCAGAGACAATATTGTTTAATTGAGGTAATTTCTTACAGCAAAGACACACCTGCAGGATTAATTGTGTAAGTATCTCAAAACTCTGTGTTTGTCCTAGTTCTGTAGGAGAATTGCATTATAAGGCACTTTTTTTGACACATCACAGCAGAAGGCTAGAAACAATGTTAGATTGTGAACAAACAGACTGGTAGGTGGAGGGGGATAAAACAAAACATTACTGCAGTGAGTTATCTAGTAGTTTTAGCAGTAAACAAGCAGTGAAATGGGAAGTGAGGCCTCTCCATCCTTGTATTGGCTGCCATGCCAGTTTACTTTGAATGTGTAAAGCACAGCAGAGCATCTTAAATGAAAAAAAATGACAAGATTTACTTCAGTCGCACCTTGGGTAGCCCATGAGTTTCAAAGAAAAGGCTTCCTGTGAACAGTGACTTTATGGAGCTTTTTCAGTGTATGAGTCTAGACTTTGAACACCATCGTGCTGCAGTATTGTCTGGTTGTGATGACTAGTCCTAACGCCTGTGGTGCTTGGTGTCTGCCTGCATATGCTCCCATGATGCTCAGTGATGAGGATTAGTGCCTCATCTCTCAGGTGTAATTATGAATATTCTGGCAACATCCATTAAATACTACCATTGCTGCAGTGGGAGAGTGGGGAGCGACACCAGTGTTGCCCTGGAGTGATTTAGCAGAAAAGCCCAAAACCTTTGACTTGTGTTTGGAGTATTTCTTGATTGTGCATTGTCTGCCTGTATAGCGTACCCTGTGAGAGGCACACGTACACTGCTGCTCTGGAATTTCATCAGCTTTTTCTTTTCTGTACTCTTAAGGCAAACCTACGCCACAATAAACCTGCAGACTACACGACAGCTGTGCTGGTACCTGTTTTTCAGTACCCACAGACAATGTGGAAGACAGAGCAGAGAAGCCTGTGTTTCTGTAGGGGACTGGGGTTCCTCTACATCCAGGCTTAGCATCACAGGAGAGCAGCAGGGTGCTCATTTTGGGGGTCAAGGTGGCAGAACTGGCTGGCAGGTTTGCCATGTTTGTGAGCCCTATGGCCAGGCACTTTCACTGGGGGCAAGATCACTCCTGCAGCTCTGCAGCCAAGGAAACATGCTGAAGTGCTGTGGGCCTCAGCCACAACCTGCTAGCAGGGGCTCTGGCAGCAGCATGGCAGGAGGTGGGAACCAGGCTTCAGTGCCTGCAGTGTCTCGCATGGGGTGTCTGCCTCAAAGACTGCTATCCCTGGGGAGAGGCCATGTTACAGGGTTTTGGGATGTATTTCATGTGGAAACAACACTAGGATGATGGTTTTCCTCCTGCAGTTGTATATTCATGAATATAGATGGATGCACATGCTTCACTTCAGCAGCCAAGGCGTAGTGCAGGAGATGCCCTTGGGAAGCTGTCATTGCTGGCTTTGAAACAGGAGTTAAGCCAGAAGAGCCAGCTGGGATAATCCCAGCACACCATATTCTGCAAAGGTATTCTGCATGACCACTGCACCCTGCCATTGCAACACCACTGTCGTACCCCACAGCTCTGGCCACGAGAGCTGCACGGGAAGGGCAGGGTCCCCTTTGGTGAACTGACATGGAGCTGTGGGGCAGGTCAGCGGGGAGAGCAGCATCCAGCGCAGCTCAGAGCACTTTGCTGGGAACACCTGATCATGTCTAGAGCAGCCCTAAATTCTATCAGCCTTCACATAAATATTACCTGATATTCCCATGCTGTAGTTGGAGCTGTGCCATGCTGTGTCCCTAAACCAGGTGTTTTCTGTCCTTTTTTACTGTGAAACAACCTAATGCCCAGGGGGATGATGGACACAGAGTGAGAGCTTTGCACAAGCCAGATAGCAGCAGAGGTGGTGGCAGGAGTTAAAGCCAGAAGAAGACATGGATGAAAACCACAGAGGAGGAAGAAAGTTCCCAAATGGGATGCATCCCTCAGGGTAGTTGGAAAGCACTGTTCAGCACTTGGAAGGATTTCTGGCTAACCTGCTAGAGATACTTACCTCTCTTGGTGGTAGGGATCAGCATCCCCTTTCCTTAAGCGGCGCTAAACACGAGCCACGTGGTGTGGTTGTATTCCTCACCTGGCCGGAGCAGGACGTTGGGGAAGTGGGGCTGGGGAGAGGCAGCAGACAGTGACTGTGAGCACACACCAACGGGACCAGACAGGGTCATGAGGGCATAGGTGCATCTGCTTTGCTGGGGTGGTGACCCATAGCTCCCTCCAGGCATTTCCAGTGGCAGCATTTAACAGCTCCTTACTTGCCAGCTGGCAGAGTGGGCAAGTTTTACCCCTGGTTGAATTCAGGCCCCACAGGGAGGACATGGCAAAGACTCGGTGGGGCCTAATGCTGCTGGATGCTGTAACCTACACCTGCCTCCATTCTGGTGTCTATGAAGTGTCCCCTCACCAGATGGGACTCTGTTCATATATTTAATCCCTAGAGACACAGAGGGTGGTAGTATTGTCCCCTGCCACAGGATCCAGGAAGCTCCTAGGGACAGGGGGGATGGCTCACCTTGTTGACAGCATCAGGCCAGTTCTGGGTTTCCAAGCAGAAAGCCGAGTGCTTGGGGTACACAGCAGCACCTTTGCCTTTCAGGGAAGCGTCCAGGTTGTTCCCGGTGTAAAACTGGATGCCAGGCTGAGTGGTGTGAACCTCCATGACCCTGCCAGTGGGTGGGTGGCGAGCCCTGGGGAGGTGCAGGTGGAGGATAGTAAGGGGCCAAAGGTGGACCCTGTGGCTCCAGGGGTGGACGATCCCCGCCAGAGTCCCAGCCTACCGCCTAATGCTGCTGGATGCTGTAACCTACACCTGCCTCCATTCTGGTGTCTATGAAGTGTCCCCTCACCAGATGGGACTCTGTTCATATATTTAATCCCTAGAGACACAGAGGGTGGTAGTATTGTCCCCTGCCACAGGATCCAGGAAGCTCCTAGGGACAGGGGGGATGGCTCACCTTGTTGACAGCATCAGGCCAGTTCTGGGTTTCCAAGCAGAAAGCCGAGTGCTTGGGGTACACAGCAGCACCTTTGCCTTTCAGGGAAGCGTCCAGGTTGTTCCCGGTGTAAAACTGGATGCCAGGCTGAGTGGTGTGAACCTCCATGACCCTGCCAGTAGGTGGGTGGCGAGCCCTGGGGAGGTGCAGGTGGAGGATAGTAAGGGGCCAAAGGTGGACCCTGTGGCTCCAGGGGTGGACGATCCCCGCCAGAGTCCCAGCCTACCTGGCCACAAGGCGTCGAACTTGTGCCTGTTGCAGGCAGAAGTTGTGGTCGAAGCCATCCAGGCAAAACTTCTGCAAGTGCTTCCCCAGCTCCATGGGCTGCCGGAGATCGAAGCCAGTACCATGCACAGGGGCCACCTCCCCTGAGCAAGGAGAACAGCAATGTCAGCCACTCACGGATGTGCCAGCAGGAAACGCCTGTGGCACAACCTCCTGTGCAGGGTTGAGAACCCTTGCTTTAGTGAGCTGAGGGCTTTAAGACATTTGTGATCCTTGTCTCATTGTGGTGCCCTGCTTTGAGCAAGCTTGCCTTGTGGCCACTGTATCTCGGGCTGGGACATGACCACCTTGTTTCCCAGCAGAGCCAGCCAACTCCCAGGGACTCTGCTGTGCTTTGCTGCAACAAAGCGAAGCCAGGGACTCAGAAAACAAGAGCAGGGGCCTGCCTATGGAGCTATACAAGCCAATGCATCAATCAGTCCTTCCAAATCTCTTAACAAACATCTGAGAGATGGCCACAAAGGTGGTCCACCTGTCAGGATGGTGAATATGGTCTGCATACAGGGATTGGTCTCCTGCTTTGAGGAAAAAAGGACCATAAACCCAGCATTTTCTCTCATGCCTTTTTTTAGGGCCTGATGTGGGGACACAGCCTCCTGTGATAAAGCTCTTGCAGAGAGAACAACCCTAGGACATACTAAAGGCAGTGCAAAACACAGCCATCCCAACCCAAAGGCAATGGGTTTTGCATGGGGGAGGTCGGAGAGAAAGGGCAGAGGAGAGGATTTTTCCCTAAAGTGACATACTTCTACCCTTCTCCAAGGAGAGAAGTTTTGAGGGCCAGCAGGCAACTACCAGTGTTGGGGATGGGCAGTGCCCTGGCATCCTGGCCCCACTGCTGGCCCCATGCACTCTGCTCTGCTAGCTGCAGTCACACACCCAGCTCAGCTGCAGCTCTGTCCCAGTTCTGCTCTGGAAACCTTGAGCAACAACGGTCTCCACCTGACAGGGCATTTCTGTGGCTTCTGATCCTATCTGCAAGGAGTGCATCTACTGAATTCAGCTCTCCTAGGGCAGAAAAACATCTTGAAAAAAAACCCCACCATTTTGATTTAGGCACTTGCTAAAATACAGTACCCATTGCATGCAAGGGCTCTGTCTTTAATAGTTGCCCGATGCTTGTCTTCACCCTGGGGCTAAGACAATACACCGTTTTATCAGCTTCAAAGGCTACATTTACCCAAAACACCAAAAGGGAACTGCAAAAAGCAGAGACAGTGCACTGATGGCAATGAAGATGTGAAATTGCTCCGTGGTGAGCAGTGGGGAGAAGTAGTGCAGCGGGTTTGCTGCGGCCTTCAGCTCTTCCCCAGCTTGAGCTGAGGCACACACCAAGTTGAGCAAAAGCTGCCTGGGCTGAGAGACCCACTCCTCCAGGTGCAAGCTGATGCACGCACACACAGCGGTTGTGGTTCAATCAACACAGATCTACCTCTGGTATGAGCAGACACTTGAGCTAAAAAGTTTTCTTGCTTCCTCAAGCCTCTTTTCCTCTCCCTCCTGAAGTCAGAAGGTGCAAGAGCATCAGGACAAGCCCTGCCATTTCTAGCAGAGCTCGGTGAGCCTGCGCTTACTAGAAACCGCTCTGCAGGCTCACGCAGTCCCCAGGCACGCACCCTGCCCAACACCCAGTTTATCTTCTGCTGATGAGAAGCACATCCATCCCAGCACTTACATCCCAGGCTAGCTGCTTGGTGCTCCTGTCACTACTCTGTCCTCTGGAGATCTCTGGCACGGTGCACCACTATCCCACCGCTCTCTCCTGCTGTGGCTCAGCATCTGCACTTCAACAGCCTCCAACCCAGTCAGGCTGGATGAAAAGCCAGCATTTCTGAGCAGATCTAGAAGTCTTCTTTTTTTATAATCTTAATCTATTTTAGATTTTTAAAAATCAAGCCAAATGCACCTTTAAAAAAATAAATAATAATGCTTTTCATTCTTAAAAACAAGAAAACTTACCACCAGATTACTTTTGCAATTAGGTAAACTCTTACTGCAACTCAGTACTGCCAAGTGACTTAGGCTAAATGAAAAGTGGGTGTTGGAGCAGCACGGTGGGAGGATTGGAGTTAAAGACACCCAAAGCAAGGTGCCTCCTTGTTAGCAATGGGACCATTGTCAAGCGCACATGTTCAGTGCTGGCTCTCTTGCAGGTACAGGGAACATGTTCTCTGTCCCAGCTTGTTCAGTGTATTTCACTTACTGGCTGCCTTTTATGGGGAGGAACAGAGTGGAAGTGGTGAGGAAAAAAAACAACAACTAGAAAGCTCTTTCTCCTTTTTACTCCCTCAATCAAGAGGGTGCAAGAGGCTGCCAGTTTGCTTCTCTGCCCCGAGGCTACAGACAGCGGCAATACCACCTTTGTTTCATTAACACACTTAGCATGCTGTTTTCCTTGCCTGGATTTCCTCTTCCTTCTGCTTTTAGCCATGCAGGGCATTAACGACCAGAAAGAAAAGTCTTAGTTTTGTGTCTTCAGCCTCCCAGCCAACAGCACCAGCTCTCCCATTCAGATGAAGGGACTGATGGCTCAGCTCCTGGAGTGAAGGACAATGCTGGGCTCTTGAGCACCAGAGATCCCAGCAGCTCTAGAGCTCGGTGCTGGGCCTGGGAGCTGCCCTCCAGATCAGGGAGACTGACCACATCCTGGCGAGCCATCACATTTATTGACAGCAGCCCTGTGCCTCCAGCTTACTGCTTGCATCTCCTGCATTTTACTGAGGCTTCAGAAATGAATTCTCCTGCTTTCTGTGGACTTTGAGCATGGGCTGAACTTACAGAAACAGGATTTATGGAAGTAACACCTTGACATCACGTGCAAAATCCCAGTAGAGAAGTATGATAAAGTTGAACACTGCTGGGAACAATGGATTGGCCCACAGGAAAATGCTGGCCAAACAGGTGCAGTGGGACATGCTTTGGTCCTGTGTCGTAGGCAGCGTGTCTCCTGGACGGGCCTCTTGGACCCATGTTGCAGTCTTGCAATCTACCTGCCTCTGGCCCCACCTCCTGCCTGCACCCCTTAAACAGACCCTGGGCCAACCCTCTCCAGGTCTGGGGGCCTGGTGATGGACCCTGCTACCAGCACCTGACTCTGGCAACTCAGCTCAGTTGCTGTGTGCCTTTGCCCCTGGATGAGGAGGGTCTTGCTGTGCCTGAGGCCCTGGTATGTTGCCCCTTGCCGGGCAGTGCTGTTCCTCAATTCCCACAACACTCCTCTGCAAAACCCTCTTCACCATGGGCTGCAGGTGTCACACCACCCACCAGTAGGGATCTTGGTGTCGTCCACAGGCAGGTAGGAATCTGCTTCAATACAAATCTCATGGTCGTAGATATCTCGTGAGCCCTGCAGGAGGATAGGAATTACTGGGATTTCTTCTGTAACTCCTTCACCATTCAAGCAGCCTTAAGAGCCCCCAGGAAGTGACTGCCCTCAGTGGAGCTACAGATGACTTGGTAGTGCCTGGGGGACCTCCTGGCCATCATCCTACCCTGATGCTGGGCACAGGACAGAGGTAGCACCACAGGCAAAAACCTAAGCACACAGTGTGGGCAAAAGGGGAAGGAAGCAAGTGTGGGGAAGTGCAACCCATCACCCCGGCTCATCTCCTGCAGCACAGCATTCCTCTTCCTCTCTGGCAGCCTTAGGGGTGCTGGCAGGGAACTTGTTGGGGCTGGAAGGGGAGCAGCAGCAAAGCTGATCTTGCATGTCACTGTCTAATCTGAGCAGCAATTTCATGCCCAAAGGTCTCCTGTTTCTCTGGAAACATGCCCGAGTTGCATGCTGCAGGTGTTGTTATTACTGTACTGCTGGGAGGACAGAGGGTAAATTAACGACTGCTCAGCCATTGTAAGGGCAGTGGTCTGAGCAGACCTCCTGTACTCGGGGGCTGGAATGTCTCTCACTAACACTTTTCAAGGGTCTTAGCCTCATATCCAAGTGTGACTGCACTGTCCCATCCTATTGCTCTGCCTAGCAATACTATTTCCCCAGATCCTTTCCTCCAAGACCAGATATAAACAGGGTGAGATTAAAACACAGCTGGAATTCAGTGCCTGTCTAGTTGGCAGGAACCTGGTCTGGTGTGTGGGAGCCCTCTGCACCCTGCTACTGCCCTGCTCTGAAAATCTGGCTGCCTCACATCCCCTTTCCATGATGTTTCTCCTCCTCATTTTGACCTGGGTGTTTCAGCTCTGTGCTGATTCTGGCTGGCACTAGAGCCCCTGATCTCAGCTGCACCACCCACACAAGGCTTCAGTATGTTGTCTCAGAGGCAGCAACAGAAGACAGCCAAGTCCATCACTAGAGCTTGCCAGCTCTGCACCTCCTCTGTAATCTTCCTAAGTGACCAGGAAAGACTGACACTCCCCAGAATTAATATTCGTGGTGGGATGTCTGTTTTCATAACATACTGGGATAACACACCCTCAGTTGAGGTCTGTGTGATTTAGTCCTGTCCCAGCTCACAGGCTGCATGCAGCCCATGATGCATAGACACAACTCCCACTGCTGTGTACCTAGAAGAATGCTATGTCTTCAGACCAGCATCAGCTTATTGATGCCACGGGAAGCCCATGGATAACCCCATGGTTCCCCAGGCTTTATTCCCCTGCACAGTATCCCTCCACAGGGTTCATCTCCCCATGTTTACCTGCCCTGCAAGGTTGAAGTATGCATGATTGGTCAGGCTGATGGGTGTCGTCTTGCTGGTCTGGGCTCGATAGTTGATGGCCAGCTCCCCACCATTGAGAGTGTAGGTCACCCAGACTTTCAGGTCACCAGGGTAGCCTTCCTCACCGTCAGGGCTGAGCCGGAAGAAACAGACACCGTTTGGGAGAACCTGGGGGCTCCACAGAACCTGCAAGATGTGTGCTGTTTGTGGGAAAGTAATGGGAAACATGGTGCCCTTCTCTCCTGCTCCAGGCTGGGCTAAAGCCAGGGAGAAAAGGTATGCAATGCATGATGCACTGAAACAAAGGGTTTTTCAACCCTCTCCTCTGCTCTTACTCCTAGAAGGAAAAAAAACAACACAAAAACCAAACCAAACAAAGCAAGCACAAAAAATCTTTGTCTTTTCCTGCCTATGAAAGACTAAAACCAAATATCTCCTTGAAGGGAAGAGGGAGAAAACACAAGCACCAGCCTGCTCTTGGTCAGCTATGGCCAGCAGCCCCAAACAAGTTTTCCCACGAGCAGTCCAACAAATGAGGTACTTTGCTCTGATGGGGGTCTGTCCCAGCTTGTGTTACTTCATGCCTAAGGGCGTCCATGCATCTGATTTTTTACCCTGCAGCCAGACTTACCTCCCCCTCCTGTGGATCTCCTGGTGGGCAACATCACCTCAACAAGCTGCTGCCCATCCCTCAGGTAATTTGGGGCTGGATTCTGAGACAACGTAAATACACATTGTGAGCTCCTGCCTAGGGGATGGAGTTGGAATAAATAGTACCAAAGCCTCACCAGATACATCCACACATCAGCGCTGATCCAGACAGCTGGGACCTCTCAGTTCCTTGCCCCTGCCAGACACCAGGGTTCTGCTTAGAACCAAACCTGCTGGCAAGCAAAGAAAGCCAGCACACTATAAATTTAGCTGCCCAGAAAGCCTGTTTCATAGAAAACTTTTTTACAGAATGGCTTGGGTTGGAAGGGACCTTAAAGATCACCGAGTTCCAACCCCCCTGCCACAGATGGGGACATCTCCAACTAGACCAGGTTGCTCACAGCCCCATCCAACCTGCCTTGAACACTTACAGGGATGAGGCATCCACAACTTCCCTGGGCAATCTGTGCCACTGTCTCACCACCCTCATAGTGAAGAATCTCCTCCTACTGTCTAATCTAAATCTCCCCTCTTCCAGTCTAACACCATTGCCCCTTGTGCTATCACTACAAGTCCTTGTAAAAAGCCCCTCCCCAGCTTTCCTGTAGCCCTTTCAGGTACTGGAAGGTGCTACAAGGTCTTCCTAGAGCCTTCTCTTCTCCAGGCTGAACAGCCCCAACTCTCTCAGCCTGTCTCCACAGCAGAGGTGCTCCAGCCCTCTGATCATCTTCATGGCCCTCTTCTGGACTCGCTCTATAAGCTCCCTGTCCTTATGGTGGGCGCTCCAGAACTGGACACAATACCCCAGATGAGGTCTCACAAGAACATACTGAAAGTGAAGAATCACCTCCTTTGACCTGCTGGCCACACTTCTTTTGATGCAGCCTAGGACGTTGTTGGTTTTGACACACTGCTGGCTGACGTTGAGCTTCTCATCAACCAACACCCCCAAGTCCTTCTCCTCAGGACTGTTCTCAATCTGTTCTCCATCCAACCTGTAACTGTGCTTGAGACTGCCTCAGCCCAGGTGAAGGACCTTGCACTTGGCCTTACTGAACTTCATTAGGTTGGCATGGGCTCACCTTTCAAGCCTGTCAAGGTCCCTCTGGATGCCATCTCTTCCCTCCAGTGTGTCAACTGCACTGCACAGTTCGGTGAGGGTGCACTCAATTCCACTGGCCATGTCACCATGGGCTTGATGCTTGCAGCCCCTTGCAGGATGGATCGAGGTGCCCAGTCTCTGGAGCTTTGCATCTAGCTAAGGAATAGTTACTATCTAACCAAAAAGGACAGATCTAAGGGCAGGAGCCAGGTAATGCTTTTGAGATTACCCCTTTCCTGTCCTATGCAGAGATCACTAACTTGGGACACTTGTCAAAAGCCGACATTTTCATCAAACGTGGGAACTGAGGGTACAAATGTGACAACCAGACAGCAGAGCTGGTCCTCCTGCACTGAATGCAGTTTGACTGCAGCTCCCACTGCTGTGGGATGCTGTGGCTTTATAGATGAGTCTCTATTTAAGTTCTTAGAAGTAAAAGCTATTAAAGGCCAGCAACCACACTGATGTCACTGTGTTTTAAAGTTAAGAGGGCTACTATCTAAAGTCCTCCAGTCCCCAAGCAGCACAGTCAGATATTGTCACTACGTGCAAGCTTCCCTGGCATCAGACCACGTGCTGACAGCAGCACTGAGGTCTGCAAGATCAGGAAAATCTAACAAGATGGCCAAGATAGTCATAGCCAAGAGACAGCATGTATTGTTTTTGTCAAGGCTGACCAAAGGTCTCTGCACAGTGACCATTACCTGGCTGGAAAGGGTCTTGAGCAGATGCTCAAACATGCCCTGTGGGCTATAGGGCACAAAGCTGTAGCTGGGAGGTGTTGCTGCCTTGTCTCCAGCAAGTTGCTGTGCCTTCAGCTAGCAAGGGAAGAGGCAGGAGGAAGGGACCACATGCCCTGCATGCAGAAGAGAGCCTGGAAGCCCAAGGTGCAAAGGAGTGCATGTTTTCAGCTCTGGCTTACAGGGGGTCTGAGTGTATAAAGAAACTTTACACCAGATTGTTCTCTATGAGGATGCAACAGCCAAGTCACCCCAGTAATCCCTTTTTCCTAAGGGTGCTGAGGAGTCTTGGATCCCGACCTGATGCCAGTTCACACTGCACTGCCCAGAAGTGAGCTCTTCTCCAGACACTTTGACTTTTGGCCAGTCAGCCCGGATGTCCTTTCATGAAATAAAACATTAACCCAGGAAAGGAGCTGCACTAGCACATTCACATTAGTTCCTCCATCAAAACAGTGGATCAGCTGGTTACAAAAGCAACTGATCTGACAAAGCTCAAGGCTTCAGGAAAGCAGAGGAGATGCTCTGCTGCTCTAGTGCACTAGTGGTGTATTGATGATACCTGGAATTCAGCAGCAGCTCTTGAGAAAAGACAGGAACTGTTGAGTGCCCTGGGGCCAGGGAAAGGTTATTTTATCTAAGAGGTCACAAGGAACAGCTGGGGAGGAGACACAGGATGGTGGGGCATTTTGCAGATCTGATCCAGTCATGTGCTGCTGTGAATTGGAGCAAGAGCCCAGGGGATGCTGAGACTGGGATGAGAGTGGCACTGGAGGGGGTAATGCAATAACTGCACTGAACCTGCAGCACCACCCTGCCCTCTGCATACTTGGGAGTGCTGCCAAAAGCAAGCAGCAATGATAATCAGCTTCTGCAAACCCAGGAACAAGCCCTCCAGGATGATCTATGGGCAGTTAATACCCACGGAACTGCAGGTGCAGGTGCAATTAAGTCTGTGTAGATCACTGTTCCGCAGGAAGTTTTCTTTGGGCACTGGGACAACTACAGCACCCACTTCGGTGACGTGTGGCTGGCATCTCAGGATCCTCCATCATGCATGAGGCTGGGTTCCCACCACCACGTCCCAACCCATGCCTGGCAAGAGCAGCACCTTGCCCCAGGACAACCCTGGCAGAGCTGGGCTCGCAGTAACGCAGATGAAGCACAGGAACCCAAGAATGACACGAGTGAGCCCCGCTAATCCACCTGGACAAAGACAAGCCCACCCAACAGCTCACAGGGTCTCATTTCCTCCCATTCCTGCACTCACAGCACTTTCTGGGAGTCAATCCAACCCAATAACCACCAGAAAACCCTATAGGGTAAGGAGTGAAGACATCATATCCTCCTGCCACAACCCCTCAGGCTGTGTGCCAGAGACGGCCTCGACCCAGCCTGATTTTCACCTTGTCAAATCCCTTGGATCCTCCATGCAGGCTGTTTGGCCCACTGTTGAGGAACAGCTGATACTCCTTCCCATCGACAGAGAACCTCCCCTTGGCAATCCTGTTGGCGACGCGCCCCACGACAGCACCAAAGAAAGGGTGCTTCCTCACGTAACCTGGCCAGGAAAAAGAGCATCAAGTTAAACAGAAGGATGGGTGGGTGGTCCCTGGGTGTGTGTTTGATGGACCCAGAGGTGGCTCCCTCTGCTTTCCTCCAGTACTAAAGAGGTGACTGTAAACCCAGTGATTCCCAGCGCAGGCAGCTCACTAGTCATGCGTATCAGCCTGATGGGATCTTTGATTTGCAGAAAAGACCCTGTCAGTGCCATGACACTGAGCTGCCCTGCCAGAGGGGCACGTTGAAGCCTTCACCCACCAGTGTCCCCGTCCCCTGGGCACCCCCGAGCCCAGGGCAGGCAGCAAGAGCTGTGTTTGCTCAGCCTGAGACTCGGAGGGTCCCTCAGAGGCAGGTCACACGGTGTGACAATAAACCAGAAAATGCTGGTTACGTTGCCTGATTTTTTTTTTTAATTTAATTTTATTTTTTTTAAATAAGTCACACGGATTCAGACCCACCTTCCAAAGTGTCAAAGCCCAGGACAACATCCGAGAACTCCCCATCCCTGTCCTTGGTCTCCAGCGCGGCGATAATGCACCCTAAGGACAGGATCTCCACCTTCACGCTCCCCGACCTCAGCACGAACTTCTCCACCGCTCCCCCTCCTTCCTCCGGGGGCAGGTGCCCGAACACCTCTGCCTTCACTTCGGTCATGCCTGGCCAGGACCTGCGGGACCGCCGGGAACTGCCCCCGGGGCCCGGGAATGGCGGCGGGGGCGGGGGAAGCGGGAAGACGGAAAGAGGTGGGAAGAGGGGCGGGGAAGAAGTGGGAAC